AAGAGCGTGGAGCTGGGAGAGCCGCAGGCTGCAGCGGGGAGGAGGGGGAGGCTGTTAAAAGCTGCAGTGCAAATGGGGACAACATGTCCCAAAAGCTGCGCGGTGGACAGGCTCATTCTCAGTCCTGTCACTGCCACCCTGTCCCTCTTTCACACTTACCCTTTTCTCACGCTGTGCTCGTGGGGCTGTAGGGGATCACAGCAGGGAGTTAATGTCCAGCTCCCGTGTTTTCTGCGTGGGCCAGACAGCTGTAAGCAGGCTGGGCTGGCAGCTGGCATCTCAAGGACTGTGCCATTCTCTGTGGGAGCCCGTTTGCTGCTCCTCTATCTCACCACATCTTGGCCAACGTGGTGGGAGAGCGTGTGAACCCCAGGCAGTAGCTCTCCTCACGGTGCTGCCTCCTCTCGCCACCAGCCTGCTGAAGGTCCACCTGCAGCTGCATGGCTTCAGCGTGTTCATCGATGTGGAGAAGCTGGAGGCTGGGAAGTTCGAGGACAAGCTGATCCAAAGCGTCATGAGCGCCCGCAATTTTGTGCTGGTCCTCTCGCCAAATGCACTGGATAAATGCATGGGAGACCCCGAGTGCAAGGACTGGGTGCACAAGGTAGGAGACGCGATGCCATCAGGTGGGATCTTGGTGGATGTTGGAGCAGGAAGGGACTGGTGATGGGCTGACACGGGCCATAGCCTGAGTACTCGCATGTTCCTGCAGGAGATTGTGACAGCCCTGAACTCTGGAAAGAACATTGTACCTGTTACAGACCATTTTGAGTGGCCGGACCCAGAAACACTTCCCAAGGACATGAGGGCTGTCCTGAAATTTAATGGTATCAAGTAAGTAAAAGGAACCTGTGCCATGGTGTTCCTTGAAATCTGGAGAGAACAGCTTGCATAAGCAGTAGCAAACAGCACGAGGCAATTGGGAGAAATGGATGAGGGAGGCAGAACAGGCCAAAGGGGAGGTGAGTCACTGCAGGTACTGCGGAGCATGAAGGGAGCAAAGGTCCCCATCATAAATAACCCTTTGGCTATTTTTGTTCTTGGGGCTCCCCTGTATACCAGAGCTTCCCACCCCACTGCCGCGGAGAGGACGCCCACCCTTGTGCTCCCAGCCCCTCAGGCAGGGGTGATGCCGGCAGATTTTGCAGCTCACCCGGGTTTCTCTCGCCTCCTGCTCCCCCTCCGCGCAGCAGTGCTCCAGGCTGGCACCCCCCCAACCTGCTCGTAGCCCTCCAGACAGGGCACAGGGGAAGGGGCTTTCCTGCAGCATCATGTTCCTCCGTTTTCCAGAGGACAAAAGGGTGCTCCCAGAGAGCTAGGGTGGAGGAGAGGGGTCTCTGGCTCCTGACCCGAATGTACTGAGCTATCTCATGGCACCTCGCACAACAGAAAAATTAACGGAAATTTTCCCCTCGAACACAGGTGGTCCCACGAGTACCAGGAGGCCACGATTGACAAAATCATCCGCTTTCTCCAGGGCCGTTCGTCCCGGGACTCCTCGGCTGGGTCGGAGAACGGCCTGGACTGCTTGCCCTCCCTGGGGCAGAGCTAGAACCAGCATGGCTCCCTCATCCCCTCCAGAGACTTCCCAGGTGATCCCCCTTTTTTATGTGGGGCCAAATTCCTCCCTCTAGATTTTTCCCCATCTTCGTACCCTGGCTTGAGCCAAGCCCTGTGGCTCCTTAGCCCCCCCTTCACGCTCCAAATGCAAGCCCCCGGCTAAGAGGTCAGTACTTCCTCACATGGTGCCTGGTGAGCCAAGCCAGGGTGGACTCTGGGATGGAGGAGTTGTCCTCCACATCCTCCCTCGGGGTGGCAGGACACACAGGCTATGCCTCCCGCAATACAGGGGACGCGAGGGAGACCGACACCGTCCAGACCCCCTGCAAATGACTGTAGCTTCCTCCAGAAATGTGTCTGAAGAGGAGGGATCTTCTGAGGACCAAAAGCTGGGGAACTGGTGAGGGGTACATCGCAAGAGGACACGCAAGAGAGAAGAGCAGTTGAGAGGAAACGGTCCATAAGCATCGCGTGGCCTCTGCTGGGTGCCACAGGAATATCATTGCGGTCAGAAGCTGGAAGCAGGAAAGGGCAAATAAAAGCTAAGCCCTAACGAAATCCCTGTGTTTGGGAAAGATAACACACAGAGGCTTCTAAACTGCTCAGCAGAAGCTTTCTCTTTCTCAGTAATGTCCCTTTATCACAGGAGATCATTCCCTCCTTGAGGGCCTTTCACCTCCTAATGCTGCAAAACCACTTTGTGCTCTTAACTCTGGCAATAGCAGTTTGGGTTTAAATCACATGAAGTTTTGGCAGGGTCTTTGCAAAAAGTGCTTTAAAAACAACCCCATTCCCTCCGTCTGATGTCTCAGCTTTACTTTATCAGGACTGTACTTCTAGGGCATAGGAGACTGGATTGGTGACTCTGGAAAACATATATCCATGCAGATACGGAAGATGCTAACTGCTGTACTCTACTTGGGGAGTTGTTATGCACTGGCTGAACTTTGTTCTGTTGTTGGTGCTCCACAGCAGATCTCCCATGGTCTGTTCCTTCAAACAGGAGCTGGCATATCTCTCTGCTGCACTTAGCCCTGGCTAAGCTCCTCAGGGTTGTCCCTGCTCTCTGCTGGATGCAATACCAAGTAGTATTTGTTTCTTTCTGCTGACCTCAATGCCCATCAGGTCTTTTTGCAGCAACTCACTTTGCAATATCGGGAAAGAGCAAAGTCGATGCGAAGGGCAGGTGGAGGCTGCCAGGCACAAGGACCAGTTGGGAGCAGGACTGGCAGCACCGGCTGCTAATGCTGGAGGTGAGGAACCACGGGAACCCTGACACACCTCCCCCGAGTTCTGCATTCCCGGCCTTGTCCTACTTCTCACACCTGCTCTGAGGGCGAGCAGGCTCTCAACAACATGCCATTGTGCAATTAGGACCAGAAATTGCAGTTCCTACCTGAGCTTGTCTTTTTTTGATGCAGAGCAAAGTGAATAATGCAAAAAGACATCCTCGTTCAGAGCACGCACAGGAGGAAGAGCAAGCCATGCCCAGGGAATGCCAGCCTGCCCTCAGACCAGGCTGATGCTCCACCATGCAGAAGCAGCAAGCTCATTTGCCTGCCCCTGCTCAAGAAAACTCAACCCTTTCAGGAGGTGATGAGGAATCTCAGCCACCTTGTCCTTCTCCTGGCTCTCCCCGAAGCCTCGCTGCCTGCCTTAACTGGCAGGAACACAAACACGTTTCCTTCTGGCTTCGATCCATGAACATGTGAGGGGGAAGAAAAAAGGAAAAAAAGTTAAATTCTGCTGCTTAACCACAGCTTTATGGATAGTTCTTATCAGATCACAGTTAATGGCATCTTTGCTCTGCAGTGAAAGGTTAATAGCTATATCTGCCCAGCACTCATCAGAAATAGAATCTATCTAATCTCCTGATTAACTATGATGAATCCAGCAGATGAGCCCAAAGGTGAATCTGCCAAAGGATAAAAGCCACTCATGAGCTGCTTCAGGGAGAAGTCTTGAGTAACTAATTGAATGTCAAGACCTCTGCGGCCACTGAAGGAGTCCCACACAAACAGTCCTCAGGATTTTTCTCCCTACAATAATACACACTAAGATTATTGCGTCGTTTCCCAGGAGCTCTCTAGCAATTAACCACCCACCATTCAGCATAGAGATTTACTTGTCCTCTACAGCTTAGGTGTCTCACCTGCAGTGAGATCCCATCTCATGCTCCAGCGGTCCAGATCGTGACTCTTCCTGTTTCCCCATCATTCAGTTATCTCCACCTTAAGGAACTCGCCCTGCTCCTGACAAAACATCCCATCCCCAGCCCCTTCCAGCCTGAGCAGTCTCAACGAAATGAACCCTTCTGTTCTCACCCTTCCTTTGCTGTGTCATGTCAGAAAGTGTTTAAAGTTATTCTATCAGACGCGATTAATAAATTCGGTTTATACTCTAAATCCCCACCTCTTCTCCATTTGTGTCCCACGCTTCTCTCCCTGCAGCCTTCTCACACCTGCTCTCTCTTGCCGTCATGCTTGCTCATCCTCTGAAAGGGCAGCAGAGCTGACATTCTCCAGGCACCACTCTCTGTGGGGACCCACACTTCAGGCTCATCTTTGCACGGACTGATGTAGCTCACTGCATCCCCAGGGGCTCTACCCGCTGCCCACAGTCACAACGCATGGATCGTGCATTTGCTTCACGGCTGTAGTTCTTGGAGGACAGCCCAGAAAAACTTCTTTGATTTTTTTTGTAATACAGCATAATAGTTGCTATTGAATTTCTCCTTTGCAAGCACACTGACACAAACAGAAAAGCAGAGCTGGTACACAAGTTTCACTTCACTGCACAACACTGAGCAGCTGCTAGCACTGGCATCTATGGAGTCTGTTGGTGAAGATTTCACAATCAGTTCAGCTACAAACACTAACGCAATGCTCACAGCATGCCCTGTTCCTCAGGGAGCCTAATTCCAGACTTAGCCCATCAATCAGACACGTAACTCCTGCCTATGTCCACTGGCACAACTACACAGATCAAGTGGCATAACACCAAGTTCTCAAAGGCTCCGTACTTCTCCGCCCCCTGCTCCTCTACTCCCCAATTCTCCTGCTTTTATCACAAATTCATATTGAACAGGGAACAAAGCTGTATATAAGCATTTCACATTTACTGCATATTGAAGGACAGGTCACCGAGCAAGCACTCCCACACGTGTTACTCCAATGTTCAGGAAAAGCAAGTTTTGGCTGCTTGCAAGTTCCAAATCTGCATTTTTTTCTGACTCAGGACTCTCAAACACTCATTCTCCACATAGCAGGTAACTTCATGCTGCTGCTTCTTTACTGCAGAGTCCTAAATAAAGAAAGCAGCATGAAAATAATGGGGAGAAGCACAGGATGAGGCAAGCACAAATGACTTCAACAGCTGTACGAGAAAAGCTATCTTTTTATGAACCATAAAAGAGAATGGAGGTTTTATTCATTCTGAAAGTAACATGTCTGCTAAGCAATTTCACAGTTAAGGACATTATCACATGTATCTGAACTGTGCGCAATGCCGCGTACACTGAACTGCTGGTTTATGACAGCTTGAAGAAAATAGGATTGAGGCAATAGAGTTAATGCTTTGAAAAGAACAATTATGAATACCATGAACATGGGGTTTGCTTGTTGGCATCAACATATTCTGAGAAGGGCAGCAGACGTGAGGTTGCTGACACAAATTTATGACCCATACAACAAAAAATTTACCTCTGAAGACACTAGTCCTGTCCCCACACCACCCCATCCCAAGAGCGCTGTGTGTGGATGAGGAAGGACTGGTTCTGGCTCTGCCATGAGCAGAGCAGTGATTTCACATGGGCACACATCACAGCTGGTGCCTCAAATTTATAAGGTAAGGATGTTCAGTTAGGGAGGCCCAATTTTGTCAATTTTAGCCTTAACTTTCATCAGTTTTGGCAACTGTCAATTAAGGCACCTACTTGCACCTTAGTGTTCTCACATGAGCTATTACTTCTCAAAAGGACCTTTGAAATCTTGGGCTGAGCTGCAGGCAGGAGACGCCACGGGCACTCCTCACCACAAGCACTTCATGCATTAGATTCTCTCCCCAGGACACCTCTCGCTTGCGAAGCTAAAGCCAGTTTAGTCAGGAAGGACAGAAATAGCAGTCCTGTGCTAAACTACCGCTCATCGTAAGGATTTCTGAAGGAGCCTAGCCTGGCACGCAACATTCGTATGACTTTTATTGACAACGTGCTGACTTGGAGCACAGATCTTTCTCCTCAGCAGCACATGGTTGGACCACCTCTGCTTTAGTCTTGCTCTGCAGGCTTTGCTCTGGGCCTCACCCACACCACCAGCTCATCTGCTGCACACTGTAGCACTCAGAAGGGAACGTGTTTGGCAATTAAACCAGAATTCAGTTCTCTCTCACCGCTAAAAGCATGCCACAGAACTTTCCCTCCCCACCAAACCTCAAACCACTAACTTTACTCTTGATTGGCTTTTGGATCTCTTGGGTTTTCTCTGACAGATGAGCCAACACAACGGCGAGGCAGCATTCACATCTGCAAATCAAGTTCTTACTGGTAGTCAGAGCCCTGATTTCCAACTATTTGGCATTTAAAAACTAGCAAGGACAAGCAGGGTGTCCCTCCCACACTAATCTGTCCATCAAAGGAAGAATAAAAAGCAGTCTTCAGATGGACAGTGGCCAACTCCTTGTTGCTAAGTTGCTGCTCAGCCATCTGCAGGGGACAGGGAAGCATCTGAGAAGTGACTGTAGTCATGGTCTGAGTCCCAGATTTCTATCCACCTAAGAAAGAAAGAACGGTTAGAGCCTACAAAGGCACACTGGGATGTCGCTGAATAGAGTTTTAAAGTTTCAAAGGAACAGAACAAAATGACCCTGCCAGGAGCTGTTGCACCTCTACTGCAAATTCCAACACATTGTCTCTCCAGGACTTACCAGGGAATTTGTTTTCTATCACGACACAACTTTTGCTTTAATTATTAAAGAAATGACAGGAAGAGAGACTGCTAAGACAGCTCCACCTCTTCCATAAAAGAGGAATCTCAAATTCAACTCCAGATTTTGGATCCCATTCTGAGGGTGGAGTGAGTCTCTGAAGCATTTTGAATGTCAGTAGCTACATTACTCGGGCTGCAGGTTTATCATCAGGATTCAGATGCCAGAAGAAATGGACCTGCACCTCTGCTTACTGGGGCACTAAACACCCTCTTGTAAGCATAACTGAAAATATGCCTTAAAAACTGTGAGCCTCTAAGTAGAATAAATATTATTTTTCCTATTACACTTCACAGGTCCTATGGCAAAAGTTTAGGAATTTGAAGTACATTACCCAATAATAGCTGCTGGAATAAGAAGAATTAAAGCACCAAAGAGAAATGGGAATCCCCTCATGAAGTGCAAGCTGGCAGGGTAGAGAGAGTTGAACACTCCTGTAGCCACAAGTGAACACAGCCCCTCCACACAGGCAACAGATGCAAAGAGTGCACCTGGAAAAGATAGTTAAGAGGTTAACGGTGAGACGACCCCGCCTGCAAACGTCTTTAATGCATCACCTTCAGTGGGATTCTGTGAATCTTTCTAAGGGTTTGCACTTCCCATCAGAAAACTGGTGTTTGCATTGTCAAGCGTGGTAAGCAAGAGCTGGGAGCAGAAATCAGGCACACTGCGCTGGCCTGGCCGGCCAAGCCTGCCAAGCTCATCTTCCCTGCAGCCAGGACCACCTCGCTGACCTCCAGAATTTGTATCACTGGAGCTGACCAAGGATATTATATATCAGCTGGATTGTAAATGCTTTAGAAAGGGCCATATAGATCTGTTTACTGCATCAAGCAAGCATATCTTATCGCTTGTTAAACATTAAGTTCAACAGAAGACTGCATTTTATAGATTTAGCATCATAAATCTGGTATCAAGTGTGCACCACCTTCATTCTAATATAAGAAACATGAATCGTGCAAAGTCACTTTTTGACCTTTCCCACCTCAATTCCCTCCTCTGCTCTGCCTGCCTGCGGAGGTACTCCTCTGCAGTGTTTAACAACAAGTGCAAGCTCACCAAACAAATTACTGGAAGAAAGGCAAATACGCTCCTCCTACGGATTATCCATGATCTTTCACCACGGTCAATGATATAACCCTCTAACAACACTGGGTTTCTTCCCACTGTTACTGATCTACAGAAAAGAGTCATGGTCAGGGAAATCACTATTTTCTGCTTGTTTTATAATCCATTTTAACTCTTGCTCCTTGTAAAAGTTTTGGAAACAAACAGATGAATGAATGTCCTCATCTTGAAAATACAGCAAATTTAATTAGATGAAAACTGACAATTATTCTGAAAAAATAAAATGTTACCCTGGGCCTGAGGGTGAATGCAGGGGCACAGGAGTCCAAAGGAGCTAAGGATGTCCTAACCTCCCAAAGCAGTTTGGTTTCAATGGTCCATGAGACAGTGTTTCCGGACCTGGCTTAAGGTTAGTGGCTAATTCCTTACCCTGTTCCGCCTCACTGACCAGCTTGGAGAGCTTGGCTCTGATGACTGGAGTGGCTGCCATGGAAAGGAACAGAATTCCATAACCTGTGAGCGAGATACAGCACATTAGGGAAAGCTCAGCTGAAAAATAAAGTCTCCAAAGTCAACTCCAGAAACGTGTAGTTCCAGACAGTTTCTCCCTTTTACATGCAGACCCAGTTCAACCTCCTGCATCTCATAATGCACTTTAGTCTGTCTGCAGTGTAATATGGCTTCTAGGAAACCCAATATTCTAGGAACTATATGGTTGCACTTTCAACTTAAGTGTTTGGCCAACTCTGCTGTTAGCATGCCATGGTTTTGTTGGTACACGGGTTGAAACAGAGGCAGAACTTCCTCCACGTGCTTGAACTCCCAGAAGCACACTGTGTCCTGCATCTAATGGCACCTCCGAGCAAAGAGCCTGAAATAAAGGGATTTAAGAATTCAGCATCACCTGTAAACATCAGTGGTGTTGTAGTAGCAAGAGAAATCACAACCAGTCCAGAAATATTGGAGGTCAGTCCTATCTCTGCCACCCAAGTGTCTTCAAGGCAGAGCTGCAGCAGCCGCAGCCCTCCCAGGCTGCTCAGGTAAGCCAGGTAACTGGCAGCTGAGCCGTACCCAATGAGGTCAGCAGCCCAGCAGAGAGGGGAGCCAAGCTCGTACAAAACAAAGAGGTCCTTGGTTCCAAAATGTACTGTGACAAGAAGAAAGAAGGCCAGGGAGTAAAGGGCGAGCTTCCGCCTGGAGCTCAAGTGTTCTGGGGCCGTGTATAGCCTGTAGACAGCCTTGTAATGACTGAGCGTGAACAGCTTGGCTGGTTTCTGCTGCTTCACCGATTCCTGAAGACAGAAAGCAGCGTAGAGAGCGGCAGCAAGACTGGCAGCAAGCACGAGCCAAAAGGGGTTGATGTACCCCTGAGCCTTGCGCCACTGGCCGCCACCGATGCTGGCCAGCATGCCCGCGATGCCGAGACACGCCTCGAGGATAGCGACGCGAAATGTACGTGCGCGTTTGTCACTGGTGTCAGCCACGTAGGCGAAGCAGCTGGCCAGGATCAGGTTGTAGTCTCCCATGAGGCCACTCAAAACACGTCCAAGGAGAAAGTAGGCAACGTGCAGCTGCAGGTACATGACAAGAAGATAGATGGCTGCTTGCACAGCC